TAAGGTTTTAGAAAATGCTCCGAGGAAGTTACATGATACTTAGTAAAATGTCTGTGTCATACATTAAATAATACTCGTAGAATTGGGGCTCCTTGTCAAAATGAAATAAAATACTTTGTCTCCTTGGAACTAACACAGATGTTTGTGTTAAATATGGTTTTCTAAAATTAAGGTTTCAGAAAGCCCTGGCAAAGAAAGAGAATATATCAGAATGTCTGTGATATATATTTCAGTAATACTTGCCACAATTTGGGGCCCCCTGTCAAATGAAATAAAATATCCATGCACTTTTTGTACTTTGTTGTCTCCGTTTAAGTAACATAAATGTTGTGTTTGAATGTTCTTTCCTAATTAGAAAATGCTCTGTGAATGTAGAATAATATATAGCAAAATGCATGTGTCATTTATACTTGCACAACTTGGGGCACCTTCTTATATGTCAATTATCCATTGTGAACAAAATTAAGAAACACTTATCCTCTACCACTCACCACTGTGTTCCGTGAAAATATTACTCCCCAGGTTCCTCTGATCCTTGACATTTTGCAATTGGGGCCTGCCTTTGGCTCTGCTAGACCTCACACTGGCCGAAGCCTGTTGCAAAGCGCGCTCCTTGCCTTGTTGAGCGCCCATTTTCGCTAAATCCGAGGCTCATACCACAAAAACACCTCTAGGACACTCTTTTATTAATAGTTTCACTAAAAATTCAACAATTATTTACAAAAACAACTCACAATACTACGATCTGGTAGAGATGACTTACTCTAAAAAGCACTCTGGGGGGTATTTTATGCCGATTGGAATAGAATTGATTACGTATACATTTTGTGGGGTTGTTGGGCATAGGATTTGTTAATGGGGAGTTGGTTTTATCACAGTTTTATTGTTAGAAATTTTGTTTTTCTTTTATTGGAATTATTATAATTGTTCTGACATGTTCGATGTCGATTATTTGGTATTTGACACTGACACTAGAGGCGCCACGTTCCTTGTGCATTAAATGCACTTCGACAGTGTTGCCATATGCAAAAAGTAAACAAAACAAAAAACAAGTTAAAAATCAAAACGATTTTAAATAATAAAATTTATTACAATACGTATTAGATAAACTAATAATAATGTTTAATAGTTTTTTATATTCAATTAAAACTATTACATTACTTTTAATATAGTTTTTTATTTTAAAACTAGCACCATCTTCATACCATCAATGTTACCAATATAGCAAATAACTTTACCATTATTTAAATTTTGTAATTTGTTTTATTTATAAATAAAAGCGTGGAAAATATTTGTTTATATATTTATACAAAATATAAATTATAAATATATAATATTTATTATATAATTAGAGCATTAAGAGTTTATTGAACTTATTAACTTCCCGAAGAAGTAGTTTATGTTTTTGCTAGAAAATCCGACTTGATTATTTTAATAACTTCCCGTAGGGTAAGTTATAGTCATAGATAAAAGAAGAGTCGAAATTGAACATTTTTGCATATCTTTACGTTTCAGGGATTCCTGAACATTAGATGTATGTGTGTGTTTTATGTGGATACAATTATGCTTCCCCGATTTCGCGCGCATGGATCAACCGATTTGAATGATTCAAAAAACATTCGATTCTTATTTATAGGATGACAAGCTGATTAGTTTTTGGTTAAGACAGGTCTAGCCGTTTCGGAGATACGATGCAAAGAGTGCAGAAAATAGAATTCGAGTTGCATACCTCAGAAATTATTTAGCTATAGCTGTGTGTGTGTGTGTTTTGTGTGAATACAATTTTTCATCTCCGATTGCAGGCGCACGGATCAACCGATTTGAAATATTCACAAAACATTCGATTTCTACTGATGGGTAGATGTACTGATTAGTTTTTGGCAAAAACATGTCCAGCCGTTACGGAGATACGGAGCAAAGAGTGCAGAAATTAGAAATCCGATTGAATGTTTCGAAAATCATTCAATTCGTAATGATGGGGAGAAGTGGTGATTAGTATTTGTCAAAAACAGGTCCAACCGTTTTTTAAAATAAAGAGCTAAATGAGCGTTTTTGATAAAGAATGGTATCATAACTGCATCTTTCTGATAACATGTGATATATCTAAAATATACCTAATTGCTCAACAAATAAATAGACATTTTCATAGTTTTTAGTACCAAGAAAGAAGGATAAGATAGTTGCCATGACAACACTATGTTATCGGCTATGTTACCGCAGAATTGGCCTCATAATATTTGTTGACGATCAACCAAACTTGAAACAGTGATAAATTTACTTATTTATATAGTGATAGAGTTAATGATCTTAACGTACATCCTAAAATATTATAGGCCTATGAAAAGAAGTTTAGTTTAAAAAAAAATGGATTACGAGCCGCGCCCTTAGGTCATATGTGATTGTATATTCATGCAGATTCCTCACGAAGGGATATTATTATTATTTATACATACTATGTAACTTGCTTAACGCCACTTACACCTAGTTTATTTTATTTGCCAAAAAAATTTTTTTGAAAAAATCTTTTACATACAACTAGCGCCATCTATTACCAGTCTGAACAACTACAAATGTCAAACGTCAAACACTCGTTTAGATGACTCGATGCAATAAAATGCATAAAGAATTCATTTTTACTCAAACTGCTCAACAATAAACATCCAAAACCATATAATAAATAAATAATTAATAATATGTTTTGCTGATAAATAATTTGTTGGGCCTAAAATAGTAAAAACAATATTGGTTTTAAACATAACCTCAAAACACAACAATGAATCCTGTAGATTTTGTATTGATAAAAGACATAAGGCCCGGGTTGAAAAATATTAATGTTATTTTCATTGTTTTGGAAATAGGAATGCCCACAATTACCAAAGAAAAAAGAGAGGTTTGTTGGAAAAGACTTACATCACCTTTAATAATAAATACAATAATGTATAAAGTTGAAACTCGATAACTACAAACACACAATTACTACAATTTCACTTAATCACTTAATTTATTTCCTTTACCCCCAGGTGAGAACCCTCAAAGTAGCAGACTCGACAGCCTGTATAAATCTATCAGTCTGGGACGAACCGGGGCACGTGATAGTGCCAGGTGATATAATCAAATTAACGAAAGGCTATGCAGCCATCTGGAGACAATGTTTAACTTTATACTCGGGAAAGAATGGTGATATCCAAAAAATAGGAGAATTTTGTATGACTTTCAATGAACAGTTGAATATGAGCGAACCTATGCCGGTAGTGCCAAACACGAATGCGGGGCCACAGAATTTAAATAATATCAATAATGGAACTACGAATAATGGGGGGAATGCTAATAGGTATGTTAATAAATGGAGATAAAGGGGGATCAAGATTTATTTTATATATGAAAGAGTAGACGTTTATTTTTGTTATTTGTTTAAAGGATTATTGAAATTGTAGTTGAAGTTATTTTTTTTTATAGTATATATATAGTTCTATATTTTTATAGCAGAGTTATAGCTAAATATATATTTTTGTTTAGAATTTACTTTTTTTTTTTAAATGTTTTAAATTTTGTCTGTAACCGCGGTTTCCAACCTGTGGGGCACCAAAAGTACAAATGTTTCCAAAATGTTATTTTTGAAAATGAACTAAAAATTTTAAAAAATTAACTAATGCCACGAAACTTAGTTCTCATTATATATTTGAGTCGCAATAATAAAATAATTAATTTTAACTTGTTTAAATAGTGTTTGTTTTAATTTTTTTTTTTTATTACAGACCAGGGGTTTCCAACCTTTTTTGCGCAGCGCCCCCTCCCTCCGCACTCTAAGAAAAAAAATTCTGGTGGCTCCCTCATTTTTTTTCAACAATTTCATTTCATAAATACTCAACTGATATTTTCAGACTACAAATTAATATTCAATACTATGTAAAAATATCCAAAAAAACTGATCATAATTTTTAATTATTGCACTGCGCGAAAAAGGTTGGGAATCACTGGTCTATAATAAAAGAATGATCAAAACAAACACTATTTAAAACAAGTTATAAATTGAGCTTCAAATTAATTATTTTGTTATTGCAACTCTAATATGTATTGAGAACTAAGTGTAAGTGGCATTAGTTAAAGTTTTAAATTTTTTATCTGCCGTAAAAAATGGAAATTAACTAGGTTTTAGTGGCATTTCACCTTAAGGCAAGTTGCATGTCTTCTCATTTTTATTTTTTTAAACTATCTGAAGGGAAATTTTGAGTTCACTAGAAAATCTGATTTGGTAATTTTATGTTTTCTAAGTCATTCTGAAGTGTTTGATGCCAAAATAGGAAAACCTAAGTATGTGTGTATATACATGATATCTAGTATCTTTAAAAATGAGTGCACCAATTTTAAAAATTCAATAGCATTTTGATTAAACTCACATAAAAGTAGTAAATTGGATTTCCTACTCAAAACCAATCCTTTTAAAAGAGAATAAACTCATACTCTACTTTTAAACTCTACTTTAAAAGAGAATAAATTCATAATCTACTTTTTAAGATCTGTTAAATGACATATCACATGCCTAAAAGTGTTATTATTTTGTTTATTGCCAATTTGCTAAAACATATGTTAACTTTGTTTGTATCTAATTGCTTGTTTATTGTCTCTAATAACACTCTTTACAATATTTGTCTCTATATATCAATATTTGTTTCTCACAATAAATAATCTACTCACACACATACTTTATTCTTGAAAAACCAATTTAATTTTATCGAGGATTATCCAACTCTAATACTCTTGGTAACTTTGTTCGTCTCTATTAACACACCTCATCTCTAATTACTCGTTTATTGTCTCTAATGACATTCTCTACAATCTTCATCTCTATATGTCACTATTTGTATCTCACAATATATAATCTACTCACACACATACTTTATGCTTGAAAAACCAATTTAATTTTATCAAGGTAATCCAACCCTAATACTCTTTTATTAACTTTGTTCGTCTCTATTAACACACCTCATCTCTAATTACTCGTTTATTGTCTCTAATGACACTCTAAATTATTCATCTCTATATATCAATATTTGTCTCTCACAATATAATCTACTAACACACATACTTTTTCTTGAAAAACCAATTTAATTTTATCAAGGGTTATCCAAACCTAATACACTTTTATTAACACTTTGTTCGTCTCTATTAACACACCTCATCTCTAAGTACTCGTTTATTGTCTCTAATGACACTCTCTACAATATTCATCTTTATATGTCATTATTTGTCTCGACATTATATAATATATAGTATATTATTCTTTTGTTATTCTATTCATATATTATGCTATATACATTAACACATAGCACAATACTTTTTATTTAAGGAAAGAGTTTTCTCAGATTTAGTATTTGTTATTCAAATATACATATTAAGGCAATACACATTTAATAATTAATTACTAGTAATTAATTTTATAATTAATTAACAGTATTTTAGTACAAACAGGGTAGTCCTAAGGAGCTCTCGAGTTTTAATATTGCATTTTACTTATGTTTAAAATTTCTCCATCTCTTAGTAATTTTCTTTCAATAATTTCTTTAATATATTAAAATATCTTACTAATAAAATTAAAATACTAATTTTAATATAAGATATATTAAAATTATATTACTAATTTTAATATATCTTTTAAATCTTATATAATTCCATTAAATGGATTAAATTTAAATTCATTTTGATTTTAGATGCATGCAATAGAATTATTTTACCTGTTAATTTCTCAAAAACGAATTTCAATCATTAGTTTCCTTAACGATTATTCAAAGTATTTTAATATCAGGGGTTGGCAACCTTTTTTTTACAACCTCTACAAAGCTGTGGCGTACAAAGCCACTCTACCAATATGATTTAGGGTGCCACCTTCATTCTAAATTATATAATGGGGTTCTAGAGGAGAAACATTTTATACCAAATTTATTTTTTAAACGTATTTATTTAAAAAATACTATTAAATTCTAACACAAATGAAAATTTTTAATGCGAACTTTGTCTCTGCACATTTTTGCTTCATATTTCAATATCAGGGGTACAAATTTGTGACTTTTAATTTCACATAAGATTCTGAACCATTCAGAACCATTCAGAACCCCATTGCGTGCCGTAGGTTGCCGACGCGTGCTCCACATACTTCTTTCAATTTCGGTGTCAAACGATTCAGAATGACTTGAAACATCTAGAATACAACCAGAGATATTAGCAAATCGGATTTTCTGACTAGAATATAAATTTCTCTTTGGATAATTCTATTTCTCTTCATATCTTTTTCAATTGCGGCGTCAAACGATTCAGAATGACTTGAAACATCCAGAAAACAATCAGCGAATCGGATTTTCTGGCTAAAATATAAATTTCTCTTTGGATAATTTCAATACTCTTTATAACATTTTGAATTGCGGTGTCAAACTATTCAGAATGACTTGAAACATCCAGAAAACAATCAGCAAATCGGATTTTCTGGCTAAAATATAAATTTCTCTTTGGATAATTTTAATACTCTTCATACCTTTTTCAATTGCGGTGTCGAACGATTCAGAATGACTTGAAACATCCAGAAAACAACCATAAATTTCTCTTTGGATAATTTTAATACTCTTCATACCTTTTATAATTACGGTGTCAAATCATTCAGAATGACTTGAAACATCCAGAATACAACCAGCAATTGGTTTTTTTTGGCTAGAATATAAATTTCTCTTTCGATAATTTAATGAAACTAGTAGTGAATGGCATCGTGCCTTAAGACAAATTACTGGAACTTTCCGTACCAAAAATTAATTTTTTTAAAAAAGATTTAATGTTCTCGTAGAACTCCGAAAAAAAGATTTTTGAAATTTTTCAAGTTTATGAAAAAATTGACCTTATTGAAAAAATTGATTTTTTTTTTTTGAATTCAGTTACCATTTTTGGAACTTTTTGTTCCGTATCTTTGAAACGGCTGGACCTGCCTTTGACAAAAACTAATCAGCACGTCTCTTTATCAATAAGAATCGTTTTTTTTTAATTATTCCAATCGGTTGACCCGTGCTCCCGAAATCGTTCATTTTTTCTAAGGTATGCCAAAATGATCAGGAACCTCTAATATTTTTATTCAAAAAGTTTTTTTTTATTCAAAAAAGTAATTTTTTTAAAAAAATCTAATTTTTACAAAGTAAAAAAAATTTAATATGTTTTAAAGAATTTAATTTTTCGGTTTGCCAGCAATTTGCCTTGAAACACAATGCCATTCACGACTAGTTCCTATTTTTTTTTTGTGATTAATTTAACTTAGCCTATTTGAAGTTAATAAATCTATTACTCCCAATAATCCTCCTATTTTTTTTTCCAGGACATCAACAATTGTACAACCAAACAACACAACAACATCGATTTCAAAACCGTCCAACACCACATTGTCTTCAGGGAACTCGAGATACTCAGGTGGCAGTGTGTCATCGTCTGAAGAATCTTCCATGAAATCACAAAACAAATCGACACATCGTTCCAAAACACCTCACAACAGGGGAAACAATATTCGAAATGATCGGAGATAGAATTAGGGGAAAAACTTTAATTGTAGATGTTTTTATTAACATTATAATATAAATGGTGTGCTTTGTTTCGAGCGAATTTGAGATTATTAAGAGATGATTAATAATTTTCCTAATGAAAACTTTTTAAAAACTGATCCAGGAAATTTCCTGGATTTTTTGATCCATTGGGATAAAGATTTGGTGGGCACCACATTTTGTCAAAGATGTAAAAGAGATTTTTGAATCCCAAATTTTCTGAAGATTAAGTTGAATCTTGAATATAAATTGTTACTCCACATTTTGAATATTGATTCCAGTTTTTTTAATCAACAATATCTAATTTTTTAGTGCTATTTTTATCTTGATGGCTTTTTACATTTGTTTTCTTGGAAGGAAAACTTTAAATTTATAATTATGTAACTATTCATAATTTTTGTAAAATTGTTTATAATATGTTTATACAAAATATTTAAATTCAGATTGATGGAAGTCAATACAGACGATAGATCAGAAAGATGAAAATATTTCTTTAAAATATGATATTGTTATTGTACATGTTTGTATGATGTTTTAATATATGTAAATTCTTAATAATATTTGTACATTGTATATGTTGTTATATATAATTTTTAATCTAGAATGTATTTTAGCGGCTAAAATGGTTATTATAATGTATACATGTAGTTATATGGTGCTAACTAAAACACTTTTTTATATAGAAACATGTTTAAATGAGTCACTATTTCTTTTAACCCTTTCCACTCGCGAATTACGAGATTTATTAACTTCCCGTAGGGTAGCAATCGAAAATAAAATTTTTTGCATTTCTCGACGTTTTGAAGGTTTCTGAACATTTTGACATGCCTCAGAAAAAATGGATGTGTGTGTGCGTGTGTATGGATACATTTATTTGTCGACGTTTTCGGGCGCACGGATCAACCGATTTGAATGGTTCAAAAAACATTCGATTCCTATTGATAGGGAGATGTGCTGTTTAGTTTTTGACAAAAGCAGGTTCAGCCGTTACGGAGATAAAGAGCAAAGAGTGCAGAAATTAGGAATCGAGTTTTTGAGAGAAAGGAGCATCCGATTTGAATGATCTATAAAACATACAATTAGTAATGATTGGGAGAAATGGCTATTAGTTTTTGGCAAAGGCAGGCCCAGCGATTTCGAAGATACAGAGTTAAATATACAAAAATTTGCAGTTTTTGAGAGAAATAAGCATCCGAATCGAATAATTCAAAAAACTTTCTGCTTGTGTTGACAAAACAATTGCTTTGGGGAAAAAAATTTCATATCAATTTTTTTTTTTGTATATCGAAAATAATTCAGACTTCAATTTATATACCAACTTTCAATTTATATATTAACTTTGTACTTTAAATAATTATTTTTGACTTTGTGATTCAGTTTATATAATTCCTCGAACATTTTCGAGTGGAAAGGGTTAATATAATTTTTTTTTTCAAAATTGTAGATACACAAATATAATTTTGAAAAAATTTCGTCAAATATATGTGAATCAATACATGTTTTTTAAAGCAAAACTTTTAATGCGACTTGAAACCAAGTTGCCTTGTAGGTTCAATTGTAGATCGACTAATGATGACGTCAAATTCTTTATCGAAAAATCTGGAATATAAAAATGCTTTAATTTTTTTTTTTACTTGATGCAATAAAGCTCCGTTAAGACGATTTTCCAAGAAACTAAAACGCAACCTTGGAGAAAGCGTATTATGCGGAATAGGGACAATATGTTTCAAAAAACAAGGATCTATTATAATATATTTAGTTGAAGTAAAACTTCATAAGGACAATTTTTAACTTATTATGCGGAATAGATACACGCTTCAAAGTGCAGAGACCGTGAAAAGAAACGTATTAAGCGAGAAATCGTACTAAGCATATTTGTCTTAACGGGGATCTTAACCCTTTCCATTCGCAAATTGCGAAATTAATATGAATTTTGTCGCCGGAGCGGCGGTATCCGAGTGGAAAGGGTCAATTTAATTACCGACCGAGTAAATAATCGTAATATGCGAGAAATCGTATTAGGCATAATCGTCCTAACGAGTATTTTAACCCTTTATACTCGCGAATTGCGAAATTAATATGGATTTTAATAATTAATATGGATTAAATTAATATGGATTTTGTCGCCGGAGCGGCGGGATCCGAGTGGTAAGGGTTAATATAATTACCGACCGAGTGAAGAATCGTATTATGCGAGAATTTGTACTAATCATAATTGTCTTAAGGGGGAAAATTAATATGAATTTTGCCGCCAGAGAGGCATCCGAGTGGAAAGGGTTAATTCAATTTAATTCACGTTTATAATAATGAATCTTGAATTGAATACGAATATCTTATTATGAATTCTATTTATTAATTGCGAATTGCGAAATTAATATGAATTTTGTCGCATCCGAGTGGAAAGGGTTCATTTAATTTAATTCACTTTTATGATTATGAATTTTGAATTGAATATGAATAAGAATCATCTTATTATGAATTCTATTTATTAAATTTATAATGATTCGCAGGATGAAATTTTCCAATAGATGTCTAGTAATTTAGAATGTTAGCACGTATGAATGTAAATTGAATGTTTTCAATGTATTTAATATAATTTTTTTTCGTTTTTTTTGAAAAATTCATGTATGTATGTACTTATTATAATACACACCAAATTTTATAATACAAGTATTTTGGACTAATGATAGTGTTTTTTTAAAAAAATATTAATTCTAACTATGTGTAAGTGTGTAAATAATCAATAAGAATTGATAAATAGCAATTTTTATTGATTATTTACATATTTATAAAATTGTGACTATAAATACATATTGATTATGGTTAAATTATAAAAAAATCACGAATGCTTGCCATGTCGTCCGAGCCTCACACGACGCATTTCCATACATTTTTACTTAGGCTGTTATATACATGGTAAGCGTTATTTTTAAATTCCCGTAGGGTAAGTTATTGTAATCGTCCACTTTTGCATTTCTTCACGTTTCGAAAGTTTCTGAACATTTTGGCATGCCTCAGAAAAAATTGATGTGTGTGTGTGTATGTATGTGCGAAGACAATTTTTCGTCGACGATTTCGCGCATATGGATGAACCGATTTGAAAAATTCAAGAAGCAATCGATTCCTATTGATAAGGAGATGTGCTGTGGATAAAATTGTTTGTTACATTTTTTATGTTATGGTATTAAATGTAATGTTATATATGTATATATATATATATATATATACATTTGTAATTCAAATGTCCCGCCATTATTATTAGTGATGTTGGTAATGGTGTTTCCTTCCACCATCAGCAAGTATCCGCCATTTTTAATTTTTGTTAATGTAAAAATATGTAAAATAATCTCTCTTGCTCTGGATCGCCAATCAATCAACATTAAAATAAATTAATATACTTTATAAAGTATATTTATAAATATACTAAATTTAGTATATTTATAAGAAGCATTTTTATTTTTATCATGCTGATTAGGAAATACGAAGAAAAAAGTGCAGAAAATAGAAAACGATTATTAGAATGATTCAAAAAACCTTCAATTCATAATGACGGGGAGAAGTGGTGATTAGTTTTTGGCAAAGGCAGGTCTAGCAGTTTTAGCTCTACTCCCCATCATTACAAATTGAATGTTTTTTAGATCATTCAAATCGGGTGCTCATTTCTCTCAAAAACTCGATTTCTAATTTCTGCACTCTTTGCTCTTTATCTCCAAAACGGTTGGACCTGCTTTTGCCGAAAACTAATCAGCACATCTCCCTATCAATAGGTATCGAATGTTTTTTGAACCATTCAGATCGGTTGATGCGTGCGCCCAAAAGCGTGGAAAAATTGTATCCATACACACACACATCCATTTTTTCTGAGGTATGTCAAAATATTCAGAAACCTCTGAAACGTAAAGATATGCAAAAATTGTCAATTTTGATTTTCGGATTTTTACAATAACTTACTCCACCCTAATAAATGCACAAACTTGTAAAAGTTAGCAAAGCCACATAATTATTTCTTATTTTTAATTATATTGCATTTTGCACAAATTTTAAGTCGGCCAAACAGCTGTGAAAATATTCACGTTAATAAGCAAATATTTTATCAGTCAGATGACATTTTTCAAATTCAACAAAAAAATCAATGAATAATCTTTAAATAGCGCGCCATCTTATCTATATGGAAAGTCGATAAGAGAAAACTGAAAACAAGTCTGAATATAATTAATAATTTTTTTAAGTGTAAATATTATTAATAACAAACGTGCTAATTATTAAAAATATAAATAAACACATTTGTTTATAATTAAATATTTATATAAACATTTTTTATGTTTACAATCCACGTGTCAATCTGACAGCTGTCACTCCATCTGTCATTGAGTCTGTTTTTGTTTATACAATATGTTTTAGTGTAAATTGTTTAAAAACCAAAAAACTAAACACAAATCAATAAATCACAACAATGTAACTTTACGAATAAAACATTCAAATAAAAATCCATTATCAAAATTTGAAATTTATGTGAAAATTTCTCCAAAAACCGAACCTAACCTCAAAACCATGGTATAAGAAAAACAGAGACAATGGGTGGTTTTAAATATGAACAATTGAATACAAATGCAGAAGCCGCTGATTTTAATTATACAGAATCCCCAAGTTATGTAAATAAGAACAAATCTGTGAAGCCTATTTTTAAGACTTTGGGATTGATCTCGGTGTACTTTACACTTTCTATCGGACTCACATTTTACCAAAGATGGCTTGTGAAAGTAAGATAATAATATAATAATTGATAATGTATTTGTATTGTTGATATGATAATTGTATTATAAATGTAGATAGAAATCCTTGGGATACGACTTAAATTGATTTGGTCTTGTACAATTGTTTTGTCATTGGAACAAATCATTCGAACAAATTTGTTTCATTCATTGAAAGTGCTGGACCATCCTCTCGTTTGTTTTCATCATTTTAAGTAATATATATGTATATAATAGATGACCCGACAGACGTTGTACTGTACCCACGTCTACAATTCAAAAGTTCCAAATTTTTTAATATCTTATTTGATGTCCTGCCTTTGTGATTAATTTATGGTCTTAGCATAAGCAGTATAAAAAATTCACAAAAAATAATATAGTATCTGCGATGAAAGAACAATATCACACTTGATTTTATCACACAACATAATTGTTTCAATAATTTAGTCCATAACTTTCATAATCTTATTGCTTTTTGGAATTATAATTTCTAAAGTACATTTTTCTTACTAATACTTTAATAACCAAATTTTATGTTCAAATCTTAGGTGAATTAATTTGTAAACTCTAGTTCATATGTGCATTATTCAATCTAAGATCAACGAGCTAAATATTATATATTGAATGCCAAAGAAATGAATTTTTGACACATTAAACAAAATTCTAAATCATTTTTTCATTAAGTAGAAATATATTTTTGTATTGTTAAATAATTTAGTAAAGAAAACCAATTATGCATAAGTTTAAAAAAATAATGTATATGTAATTTTGGTCTTATTGCGTTATTTATTAAACTGAATTATATAATTTCATTTGCCATACATATACTGTTGACTCTATCTTATATCATTAGTATCAAAAATAATGTAGACATTACATTTTAATCACATTACTTATATAATATAGGTTCATAATTTCAGCTACATTCAAATTTCAAGTGAATTGGCATTTCTAGCATATGACAGTTCAAATGTTTTCAATGTCAAACAATGATAAGTGGTTTCTTGTAATTTTTGCTAATTATTTCTGTTATATTACTATAGTTTTATCGTTCATTAAAAATTTCCTTTGACAAACTCTAGAAAGAATTAACAAAATCCGAATAACCGTTTAGGAGAAGTAGCAAATCATACACTCGTACAGAAGAATTTTATATATAAGATAGATAAGAAATACATACATATATATATATATGGGGGGCCTAACACCGAGTACAAAAACAAAAGGAAAAGATTTAATTTTATTTCTTATTATCCTGGAATAATAAAGATGCTTCTTTACCATCTTTATCATATTTTTCTACTTGATTGTTATAACTTTCTGTATTTATTATTAATTTTTATCATTTTTTTTTCCAGAGTCTGAATTTCCACTTAACAATAGTAGTGTTCCATTTAACATTCAAATTCCTGCTGGCTGCAATTCTTCGACAATTGATTACAAAACATCGAGCAAACATAACGTTAGGCACAGCTTTGAGATCTGTAGCACCCACCGGGTTGGCAAGCGGAATTGATGTGGGGCTCTCTAATTGGGGACTCGGTCTAGTCACTATGTCATTGTAAGTGATATAAAGGAACAAATGTATATATGTATATATATATATATATATATATATATATATGTATATATATATTTGTGTATTAATTACTTGTGTGAGGAAGAGTCAAATTAGGACTCGAAAAGAATGGATCTGTTAAATTTATTTTAGGAAAAATTCCTTAATTTTTATCTTATTTTATTATCTGGATGAGGATGACTGTTAAGAAGTTTATTTTATTTTATCAACATATTTATCACCATGTAAAAAAAAAATATATATATATATATATATATATATATATATATATATATATATATAATATTAGGGTGGTCCTCTATATGGATATTTTCGAATTGCCTTGCTCCCAGCTGCTTGCTCAAATGCTTCCAAACTGATAAGAAAAAAATTGTTGAAAATTTAGCTCTTAATAATAACTTTAAAATAGTCCGCACTCCAACTAAAGTTTCTTGGTTCTTCTTCCTAGGTAAATACTTATTTTATGAAATTCACCAAATTTTTGTTGTAAATTTTTTATTTATGACCAAAATAAGCAAATACAATGTTGTTCTTAAAATTTTGATTCACTTGTCGTTAAGTTAAACTTTTCCCATGTTATTTCCATAAAAAACTTTAGTTGGAGTGCGTACTATCTAAAAGTTAATATTAAGAGCTAAAACTTTCAGAGAATTTTTTTATCAATTTGGAAGCATTTGAGTCATTGGAACAAGAGAATTTGAAAATATCCATATTAAGGACCACCCTTAAGAAATATATATTTGTCTATTTCAGGTACACAATGACCAAATCGACAACAATAGTGTTTATATTAGGATTTGCTATAATTCTAGGATTAGAAAAGAAGGTAAAATAATACATATTTATTATTATGTTTTTATTTTTATTTTGCAACTTCCTAAATTAGTTTAAGTTTTTATTTTTATTTTTTATTATGTTTTTATTTTTATTTTGCAACTTCCTAAATTAGTTTAAGTTTTTTATTTTATTTTTATTACGTTTTTATTTTTATTTTGCAACTTCCTAAATTAGTTTAAGTTCCCGTAGGGTAAGTTATAGCAATCGCAGAAAAATCCATTTTTTGCAGATCTTTACGTTTTAAGGTCTTCTGAACATTTTGGCATACCTTTGAAAAAATGGATGTGTGTATGTATAGATACAATTTTTCGTCCACGTTTTCGGCTGCACGGATCAACCGATTTGAATGATTCAAGAAACATTCGATTCCTATTGATAGGGAGACGTGCTGACTAGTGTGTAATATCTATGCATGTTTGGATACAATTTTTCGTCTACGATTTCGAGAGCACGGTTCAACCGATTTGAATGATTCTAAAAACATTCGATTTTTTTTGATAGGGAGATGTGCTGATTAGTTTTTGGCAAAGGCAAGTGCAGCCGTTTCGGAGATACGGAGCAAAGAGAGCAGAAAATAGAAATCTAGTTTTTAAGAGAACGGAGCATCCGATTTGAATGATTTAAAAAACATTTGATTCCTATTGATAGGGAGACGTGCTGATTAGTTTTTGGAAAAGACAGGTCCAGACGTTTCGGTGATACGGAGCAAAGAGTGCAGAAAATAGAAATCGAGTTTTTGAGAGAACGGTTCATCTGATTTGAATGATTAAAAAAACATTCGATACCTATTGATAGGGAGACGTGCTGATTAGTTTTTGGAAAAGACAGGTCCAACCGTTTCAGTGATACGGAGCAAAGAGTGCAGAAAATAGAAATCGAGTTTTTGAGAGAACGAAGCGTCCGATTTGAATGATTCAAAAAACATTTAAGTTGTAATGATGAGTAGAAATGGAGATTGGATTTTGGTAAAGGCAGGTCTAGTCGTTTCGGAGATACGGAGCTAAATCTGCAAAATATGGCAGTTTTTGAGGAAACTAAGCATCCAATTTGAATGATCTAAAAAAACTTTCTGTTTGTGTTGATGAAACGATTGATTTCGAGAAAAGATTTTTTTTCCTTATGTTTTTAAATTTCAAAAAAAATTTTTTTTACTAAATTTTATTCTTGAAATATTTTATTATGGCACGGGAAGTTCCAGCAATTGATTGATTGAAATGATTAAGTCGATTATATGCACATTTTGGCAACTCGCCTCAAGGCACAATGTCACTTAACCTAATTTATTAGATTTTTTAAATATTAAAAAAAGTTTTCTTTGATTGAGACTATCCTGAGCGCAATACACATACAAAGAGAAACTATATATATATATATATATATATATATATATATGATATTCAGTTTTCAGGGCAATACATCAATTAAAAAATTTGTATGACTTTAAAACGTTTTTATTTTTTCCATACGTTTCGACACATAGTTTTGTGTCATCTTCAGTGGACTCTATTTTGAAGGTACAGATAAAATTATTAATTAAAACTAATATATAAGAAGTGATATGGTATGAACTTACATGTAATTGTAATAATCCTACTTATTTCCTAATTATAATTGTTCACAATGCACAATGAAACCAATTCTTGTCACTTTAAATGTAACAATAATAAATTTTTTGAATGAGTTATTTTATGAGTTTGTAAAATACAAACATATGTATTTTACAAACTCATAAAATAACTCATTCAAAAAATTTATTATTGTTACATTTAAAGTGACAAGAATTGGTTTCATTGTGCATTGTGAACAATTATAATTAGGAAATAAGTAGGATTATTACAATTACATGTAAGTTCATACCGTATCACTTCTTATATATTAGTTTTAATTAATAATTTTATCTGTACCTTCAAAATAGAGTCCACTGAAGATGACACAAAACTATGTGTCGAAACGTATGGAAAAAATAAAAACGTTTTAAAGTCATACAAATTTTTTAATTGATGTATTGCCCTGAAAACAGAATATCACATATTTCAACATCAAAATTATACAAAAAATTTAATATATATATATATATATATATATATATATATATATTCAAGTTTATATTTCCTTTCTAGTCGTGGTCTCTGATGGCCATCGTCATAACAATAAGCTCAGGTCTAGCCTTATTCACCTACAAAGCCACCCAGTTCGATGGACTCGGATTCACTCTACTTCTCCTGGCATCCTTATGTGCAGGTATCCGATGGACTTTTGCACAACTGGTGATGCAACGATACAAACTAGGATTGAATAATCCTCTAGAAATGCTTTATCATATGCAACCATGGATGCTGGCATCCATTATGCCTGTGGCATTGATCTTCGAAGGTAAGATAGTAAAAGATGGTAAAGGGGCGTCCATTAATCACGTGAGGTTTTTAGGAGAGGGGGGGGTTGACAAAAAATTACGAAATATCACGTGGGGGAGAGAAGGGTATAGTAGGATATTATGTTTATTTATTTTTCACCTGATTTTTTTTTTAAAATACAAACATTTTTAAAACAAAAATGAAAAATTTTACCATTTTTCTTGTAACTAAAAATACATGTGTGGTGTTTGTGAAAGAGAGGAGTAGTTTTGAATATCACCACGTATCACCAAGGGGAGGGGGTCCAAAAATTCTTAAAAGTCAATCACGTGATTAATGGTCGCCTCCTAATTAATTTGTATTAGTATAATTATGAGGATGATTTTGTTTTTTAGGTTCTCATCTCTGGACTTTGTTCTCTGGTCTGTCAACGACATCTTATTCAACAATAGGACATATTGTGATACTATTGATAATTGGAGCAGCTTTGGCTTTTGTGATGGAAATCTTTGAATATTTGGTTGTGCATAATACTTCTAGTCTAACTTTATCAGTGACTGGTATATTCAAGGTAATATACTTATATATTATAATAATATAACAGTAATAATAAATGGCAGTCTTCCTAAAGAGAATCAATGATTCTCTTTTCCTCCCTTGTTAACTTCCCGTAGGGTAGGTTATTGTAATGGGCCGAAAATCGGAATTGAAAATTTTTACATTTTTCGACGTTTTGAAGGTTTCTGAACGTTTTGGCATACCTCAGAAAAAATGGATGTGTGTGTGTGTGTGTGTGTGTATGTATGTGTGGATACAAATTTCCAGTCACGTTTTAGGGCGCACGGATCAACCGATTTGAATGGTTCAAAAAACATCCGATTCCTATTGATAGGGAAAAGAGCTGATTAGTTTTTGGCAAAGGCGGGTCCAGCCGTTTCGGATATACGGAGCAAAGAGTGCAGAAAATAGAAATCGTATTTTTGAGAGAACGGAGTATCCGATTTGAATGATCTAAAAAACATTCAATTAGTAATGATTGGGATAAGTGTTTATTAGTTTTTGGCAAAGGCAGGCCCAGCCATTTGAAGATACGAAGCTAAATATGTAAAAAATGGCAGTTTTTGAGAGAACTAAGCGTCCGATTTAAATGATTCAAAGAACTTTCTGCTTGTCTTAACAAAATAATCGATTTTGGAAAAAAAAATTGTCCCATTTTTTTTTTTTTTTTTTTAGTTTTTTGTATATCGAAAATATTTATTTTTAATTCTGACTATAGTTCTAATATACTTTACAAATAATTTCAACTCTGCAATTCAGTTTATATAATATTTATAAGTATTAGACAATGTTACAATATTTATAATAATCTATTTGAAAACATTCAGTAATCCTCGAACATTTCGTTACGGTACGGGAAGTTCCAGCAATTTGCCTTAAGGCACGATGCCACCCACCCCACTAGTTTATTATTTCTATTACCATTATTCACTTTTTTATACATTTTGCTTTTCAAACTTCTGCTTCCATGCTTCCTGATTATGTGCCTCAGATTTTTTTTATGAACTACATATATACAATATAAATTGTTACATATCTATTCTATTTAGGAAATCGTCCAACTAATTTTTGCTGTGGAATTCAACGGCGACCAGCTAAGCACCATCAACTCCTTTGGCCTCCTCCTGTGCCTCTGTGGCATAGCTGGTCACATTTGGCACAAGTCAACCAAGAGCCAAAACTCAGAATCATCAACCAACGGAGGATCCAATAACACCATCAGCAATACAAATTCATCTGACTTCAAATCAACAGAAGAAGAGATTGAAAGGATTCTGCAGATTGATAAGAATAAAAGACTTCTGGACAGTGGTGATTTTAGCGAACAGACCAGGAAAGGTTTGTTGAGATATGAGAGTGATGATGAAGAAGTCGATGATGGTAAAGCTGGTGATAGTATGGATGAGTCGGATCAGTTGATTTTTGATATTTTGAAGAGAAGGGATTATGTTAGTTCAGATAAGACGTAAAGGGTATATTTTTGCATGTTTTTATATAAATTTTGGACCAAGGAGACACATCACTTTTATTTTAAAAGTACTACATCACATATTTAATATATTTCGCGCATAAGGAAGTGAAACTTCTTTATGGAGTATGATAATGGTAATGGTAATTTATTTTTATTAAACTTATATTGTTTCTTTATGATATTCTCAGAAAATCTACAACATTTTCACACAATTGACAACATTTTCATACTATCTATACATTCTCAGGATTTATAATTTAAAATATTCAACATTGCCAGACAACCTACAACATTCTAAGACAATTTACAACAATTTCAGACATTTTACAACGTTCTCAAACTATCTGCAACATTCTTATACTATTCAGAGTATCTACAACATTCTCAGAGTCTTTGCAACATTCTCAAACTATCTATAATATTCTCAGAGACTTTACTATATTCTCAGACTATCTGCAATATTCTTAGATGATCTACAACATTCTCAGACTATCTGCAATATTCTCAGATAATCTACGCTTCTCTCAGAGATTTTACTACATTCTCAGACTATCTGCAAAATTCTCATACATTATACAAAATTTGTAATATTCTCAGATAATCTACAACAGTCTCAGAGTCTTTACAATATTCTCAGACTATCTTCTCAGAGACTATCTGCAACATTTTTAGACATTCTACAACATTTTCAGAAAATGTACAACATTCTTCTCAGAGACTTTAAAATGTACAACATTCTTCTCAGAGACTTTTCAACATTCCCAGACTATCTACAATATTTTCAGATAATCTACAACATTCCCAAAGACTTTACAACATTCTCAGACTATCTGCAATACTCCCAGATAATCTACAACATTGTCAGAGACATCACTATATTCTCAGACATTCTATAATATTCTCAGAGACTTAACTACATTCTTAAAGACTTTTCAACATACTCAGACTATCTGCAATATTCTCAGAGACTTTACAACATTCTAGGACATTCCACAACATTATCAGAAAATTTACAACATTCTCAGAATATTCACAACATTCTCAGAGACTTTCTCAACAGTTTCAGACTCTCTGCAATATTCTCAGAGTATCTGCAACATTTTCAGAAAATTTACATTTTCAGAGACTTTACATTATTTTCAGATTATCTACAACATTCTCAGGAAATTTATTAACATTCTCAGAGACTTTACAACATTCTCCGACAATATTCTCAGATAATCTACAACATTGTTAAAGACATTACAACATTCTCAGACATTTTACAACATTCTTAGACTATCTTTTCAGAGACTTTTCAACATTCAGACTATCTACAACACTCTCAGAGACTTTACAACATTCTCAGACTATCTGCAACATTCTTAGAGACTTTACAACATTATCGGACTATCTGCTACATTCTCAAACATTCTACAATATTCTCAGAGACTCTACAATATTCTCAGACTATCTGCAACATTCTCAGAGACTTTACAATATTCTCAGACTATCTGCAACATTCTCAGATAATCTACAACATTCTCAGACACTTTATAACATTCTCAGACTGTCTGCAACATTCTCAGAGACTTTACAACATTCTCAAATTTTCTACAACATTCTCAGAATATCTGCAACATTCTCAGACATTCTACAACATTATTGGAAAATTAACAACATTCTCATAAGACTATTCAAAACATTCTCAGAAAATGTACAACATTATTTTCTGAGACTTTTCAACATTCTAAGGCTAATTACAATATTCTCAGATAATCTACAGCATTCTCAGACTATCTGCAACATTCTCAGACAATCTACAACATTTTCACAAACTTTACAATGTTTTTAGACAATTTACATTGTTGAACATTTAGCGCAACATTATTAGACGTTGCATTAGAAGTTTCACTTCCATAAGCGAGGTTTAATAATAATTTTAACAACTAATCGTACTATTTGAAGACAAATTCTTCTTTCACATTTAGTACATCAATCACATTTATTTTCATCAAGGACATTATAATTATATAAATTTTTTATATGGATTTTTATTAGAGAAAATTATATTATTTTTTTACTTTCAACTTTTCTAAACAAATGCCAGCTGATCAAAAAATACTTAAAAAAAACTACTTAAACATTCCACAAAATATTTTCATTAAATGTAAAATATAAAAAAAACTTTGTATACATTTAAAAAGCACAAATGGGTGGATAAAATTATATTTTTTAATTTATATAACGCTTTTGTAATAAATATTAGCTATTATTAGTGTTTCTAATGTTATAGACGTAATACAAATGCATTTCAAGTCAAATTTAATAATCTATTAATAAATATTTTGATGTGATTTTTATATAGTAGTTAATAAAGATAAATAAATAAATAAAACTAAGTTTATGGTTGATGTGAAAATAATTCTTTTGTACTGATTAAGAATATATTTTCGAAACAAGGTGAAGAATCTTTTCCAGTAGCATTTATGTACTATCTGTTTTTATATGTTATTTTAAAATTGCAATGGTATGCATTTAAAAAATTATATATATACAAGGGTGATCTGAAAAGTTACAAACCTAACAATGATGATAATTCTGTTTTCTTAATTTTTATTAACTTCCCGTAGGGTAAGTTATTGTAATGGGCCGAAAATCGACATTGAAAATTTTTACATTTTTCGACGTTTTGAAGGTTTCTGAACATTTTGGAATACCCCAGAAAAAATGGATGTGTGTGTATATATATGTATGGATACAATTTTTCGTCCACGCATGGATCCACCGATTTGAATGGTTCAAAAAACATTCGATTCCTATTGATAAGGAGACGTGCTGATTAGTTTTTGACAAAGGCAGGTCCAGCAGTTACGGAGATAAAGAGCAAAGAGTGCACAAAATAGAAATCGAGTTTTTGAGAGAACGGAGCATCCGATTTGAATGATTTAAAAAACATTCAATTAGTAATGACTGGGAGAAGTGTTTATTAGTTTTTGGAAAAGACAGGCCCAGCCATTTCGAAGATACAAAGCTAAACTACAAAAAATGTCAGTTTTTGAGAGAAATAAGCATTCGAAACGAATGCTTTTGAAAAAAAAAATTCATCTCATTTTTTTGTATATCGAAAATAATTCAGATTTCAATTTTGATTCTGGCTAAAGTTTTAAAGCTCACGTATATACTTTAAATTTTTTTGAAAATAAAACCACAAAAACTTTAAAACCACAAAAATCCGTATATCTTTGAATATTTCATATAAATAAAACGGCACAAACTTTGTTAAAAAATCCATGGATTGAATATTTCATAAAAATAAAACGACAAAAAATTCGTGAATGTCTTTGAATATTTCATAATAGTCCATGATTTGAACTTGATATTTAATATATTCAAATTGAGTTTTAAAAAAACAGAATTAAAAAAAAAGCATGAGTAGCAGGCCATGGTTTTAACTTGATATTTATCATATTCATGCTTTTTTAAACACTTTTTACTCAATTTGAATATAAAAAATATCAAGTTAAAACCTTAGGCATATCAATAGAATAATTTTTTATTCTTATTACAGGTGCTTATGTAAGAATGCCTTAAATTTCCATGGTAACCGTCGCTAACATAAAATTTTCAGCAAAATAATTCAAACTGACGAACCTCGAATTGTTATTCTGCCCTAAACCTTACCTTTACGACCTCGGCCATTCCCTCACTAGAAATGCAATATTTTTTGAAACTTATATCTTTCATTTAAAAATAAGACTTTATATTTTTACAAATAGGAGGGGGTTCTATATAACCAGTTGGCCGAGATCGTTAAGTTACCACAACGATTGCTCAGCGTTCTTGGGTTCAAATCCAAAGAAGCTTGAAAAATCAAGTTTCTAGTTTTTTCATAATTATCAAATATTAGTTCAAAATATTAAATTCAGGTGGCGCATTTCGACCTTCACACTTAGAATATTTCTGAAAAGCAAAAAAAAACTCAAGGCTCGCACTGACTGTAGGAGAGAGATGACGAAGGTAGAGGAAGAACGGGGGAAAAAGAAGGGTAGAAGCAGATGATGAAAAGAGAGAGAGATGTGTATGATACTACCTCGACCATTCTTCCATTTAAAAATAAGACTTTATTTTTTTATGAATAGAAGGTGGTTCTGTACAACCAATTGGCCGAGGTCGTTAAGTTACCACTACAATTGCTCAGTGTTCATGGGTTCAAATCCCAAAGATGCTTGAAAAATCAAATGTCTAGTTTTTCATAAATATCAAATATTAGTTCAAAATATTAAATTCAGGTGGCGCATTTCGACCTTGACACTTAGAATATTTCTGTAAAGCAAAAAACTCAAAGTTCGCACTTGACTGTAAGAGAAAGATGACCAAGTTAGCAGAAGAACGGGGGAAAGAGAAGGGTAGAGGCAGATGATGAATAAGAGAAATGTGTATGATACATATACTTTATTCAAATTTAATATTAATACATTATAAGAATATAAAAATAACTATTGTCATCAATATAACAAATAGCCAAGTGGTTAAGGTGACCGCGTACTCGGTGACATCACTCGGAAGAAGAGAAGGTGAGGGAGATCGAATCCGGCTGGAGGGACGACGACCAACTCTGAAGCTGAAAAAATAGAGCAGTGCTGGTGGCTGGCTGTTGGCAGACGCAGAGGGTCCTGAAACGAACACACGAAGTGATGGTCAACCTGAGATTCATGATGCGAGAGGTTACACACAGAGAGACACATTGCGGACGAGTCATGCCGAACCCTAAATCTACCAAAAAACAACACCAAAAAGGAAAAAAAATGTGAAAAAAGCGAAAAAAAGCGGGAAAAGAGGAGGGAAGAAGGAAGGAGGGGGAGGAGGGACCAAAAAAAACCCCTAAGTCCCAGATCAATTTTCTCTTTTCTGTTCAGCGTTGAAATTTTTTTATGTTTTTTAGTGTTCCCTCACACCAATTCCCAAAGCCAACACACTCGAATGAAATAAGGTCCACTTTGAAATTTTCACAACGAGAAAAAATTACTGGGACTTAGTTAAAAAAAAAAAACTTAG